CAGGAATGCGTAAAGTTTTCTGGCCATTAGCGAATATTTCTGTGCTCTTTTCAGGTAGCAGAAATCAACAGAGCCTCAAAACAAGGAGAGTTGTTCTCAGTTGTTGGGTCTGGAACTGGTGGCAACAGCAGCTTAGAAACAAAATCTGGGTCTCCAGCAGAAGAGAACTTCCTCCCTGCATCCCAGGTGTATTCGGTGAGTGAGTACAGATGGGGTAGGTAAGGAGAGGATGGTATGCTTTGTCTAGCTGCGTTTTTGTCATTTTATTTTAAGTCCTTTCTGTAGCCACAGAGGTATATTTCTATTGTAATTGCTTTTCCTGTGTGTCCTTTGGTTTTGGAGTTTTTGGAGTCAACTGGTCATGCAATTTTCTATTAGCAAATATAATCTACCTGCAGGCCATACGCTATAAAAAAATTTTTCTCATCTTGCTCTAACCAAGGACGCTGTCTGTTTCCTTAGGGCAGGCCTATGACTTTAACCTGATCCATTTCCCTGAAGTCTCAGTTGATGGTTATGATGATAAGTCAGTTTTAGAGCCTTCCTCATGCTCTATATCCAAAATCCCTTCTTCTCCCTTTCTCTCTAGTTCAAACCCAAGCGTGTGGGAGCAGGATTTCCAAAGAAATCTAGCTTGTTTCAGACAGCGTCAGAGCTGCTGAAGACTCAGGAGGAGAGTGACGTAAAGCCTGTCAAGAAAGAAGTAGGTTGCACAAATGGGCAAGGCAACTGTAACTGCAGTCTGGAACTGGACACCAAAAATGTTGTTCTCCAGAAGAAAGAAATAGGAACCAAAGCAATGTGTGAGAGTGCTGGGGTAGAAGTCCTCCTTCCTGAGAATAAGGGACAGCAACTCAGTCCAGACACAAAAGCTGCCCTTTTGGAGAGCCCGGCTAAGAAGTCCAAACCTAGCAAGAAACAGCAAATGCTCGCAGAAGCAGCTAAAAAAGAATCACAGGATATTTCCAAATTTTTCTCCCTCCCCAAAGGTGGGTCTAAAGGCAAAAGTTGCAGCTCAGCAAAGGAAAATGGCTGTTCTGCAAGCACACTACCTCAGGTTTCTTCTCAAACCATGTGTGAAGAGAAACAAATACCTCAGGAAAACAAAGATGTCTTGGGAGAAGATGTGACTGGACAGTCCCAGGCAGAGAATGAAGAACTGGGAGACACAGAAGTAACACTGACTGAGAGAGAGGAGGATTTTAAGACCCAGCAGGCTGCTGAATCTGAAATCCTTCAGGAAGAAATGGATGTAAAATCCAGGTAAGATCTCTGCCTTTCTGCTCCCTATGTTGCCCTGTTAAGGAGCTGCAGAGCCCCACCAGCCTTGTCCTGGAAACTGGGAATCCGTATTAGATCTCTAGGCCGTGAGGGAGACCCTTGCTTTACCATGGAGAGTCTCATGGCCACTGACAGAGAATGCAGTAATATCTTCACCGTGGAAAGATTAAAGTTGACCTTCTCTCCGTTCTTCCCACTAGTGTCGCTGAAAATGTCACAGAAGCTGAGCTAACTGTTGTTGGGGAAGGTGAGAGCGGGAAGCGACCAGTGTCAGATGAGGTAAGACTTCAGTGGATGCTGACTTCCCTCTATTTCTTCTGCTCATCTTGTGCCAAGTTTCTCTCTGGGCGTGATGCTCCTGGTCTGAACTTCACCTGTTGATGTTATTTGTCTGGGGAGGGCCCAGCTGCAATTGCAGTGGAGAGGAGAACCATAGTTGTGTCAGGTGTCCCCTGTCCCCGCTGGGCCAGTGCCAGCAACTCAGATTACAGTGGAAAGCTTCGCCTCCACTCTGCTTTGTTTCCTCTTCTCGTGTGACTGTGCCCTTGCTGATGACTTGCCTGGAATGAGTCTCTCCACCTCCTCCAGATCTGTAAGCTATAATTAGCAAACTGTTTCCTCAAGTCAGGGGGATGACCACAGGCTGGTGACGCACAGGACCGTTCGGAAGTGAGCCGTGGTCACAGCCTTCCTTGCCAGCCAGTCTCTGTTTCTGCATTTGGCATCTGAGACTGCCTGGGAGCTGTCTCTTCTGAGCAGTGCAGTCTTCTTGCTCTTTCAAATCGAATGGGAGCGTGGCACTCCTGAAGTGGTTGATTCTTCCTGAAGTGTGTATTCTCAGCAGACATCCTGGGAAATCTTTTCCCGTATGGGATGGGATCTAGCAATTAGCTGCTCTAATAAAAGCATAGGCTGATTCTAAATGTGGTAGTCTTAAATGTTTTTTCTCAAAGTCCCTTTGTGTAGGAAGTAGTGTACTGTGTTACATAGATTCCTGCAGGTATTCACTGTAGGGGAGCCTGCCGGATGCTGCAAAAATTCATGTTCTCAGAAGGTAGTGGCTGCTTGGAAGAGTAGCCCTGCCACAGGAATTGGTGGTTTCTAAGAGGGTAGTGCCTGCTGGGAAGAGTACCCCTGCCACAGGAATTGGTGGCTTTGGTTTTCTTCTGTCTCATCTCTAGGATACGGAAAGACCTGCAACGAAGCGGCTACGGACAGTGGCAAAATCTTCTATTCTGTCCCAGCCAGAAAGCAAAAGTGTTGGTTCAGCAAAGAAGAAGGTGACTTTTGATCCAAACTTATCACAGTGTGATAAAGAAGCAACCAACAAGACTGTACAGCCAGTGACCAAAGGCGCGTCCCTCAAAGAGACAGCAGACATCGTTGTCAAATATTTGACCCCATTCTACAAGGGGGGCAAATTTGCTTCCAAGGTAGGGCACAGCTCAAGACCTTCTTTAGCAGTAGGAGGCGGCATCTCCCTGGTGATCTGGGGCTCTAAGAAGGGGAAGATGATCTGCACACATTTCATTTCCAAGTCACATCTTGGTATGTGTTTTTTCAGCAGTTCGAGGTGCAGCAACTCACCTCTCACAAGAAGGGGTTTGTGTGTGATTTAGAGTGGTATCATACTGGTTCTATACTTGGTTTTGATTGTTCGTGTTTTCACACTAAACTCGAGCACATTTTTAAGAACTCCCACCTGTGGAGCAGCAACAGACCAGGTTCAATCCCAGTGTAGTTTACTTGATGTGTTCTGCAAGGCAGCACGTGCGTGCTTGTGCTTCTCCAGCGCTGCAGGGTCAGGTGTATTTGCAGCACTGCTATAATCTGAACAGCCAGCCAGTGCCAACATGGAAACACTCCGGTGAGGTAACCCATGTCTGCTTTCTGCTCTTTATCTCCCCCAATTCTGCAGGATCTGTTTAAGGGCTTTGCTCGGCACTTGTCTCACTTACTGACTGAAGAGAAGAACCCTGCCCGCAAGTCTGGTGAGTTGGCAGCTGGGGAGAGCACCCAGATCTTGGGTTCTTTGATGCTACATGGAGCAGATGTCTTAGGTATTATCTCAAAGGTGGTGCTTCCTCTCTTGCAGTGAAGGAGGAAGCACAGAGACTCATCAAGGAGTTTTTCAAAACAAGGGTCAGGTGTGAGAGCGAGACAGACTGGCAAGAGCTGCAAAGCTCAGAGAGCTGATCCTTGCATCATGTTCACTGTCTTCCTTCCTCCAGCAGCGGGACCAGGGGATCTTGAAGAACTCAGCCATGGAGGGTTTCATGAAACTCAAGAAGTGAGCTTTCTTTTTCCACTGCATTTTTGCTCACTTGACATGCACTTCCAGGAACCAGTTTCTCTGAACTTATGGGCAGTTTCTCCAGTAACCAGAGTGCTGAAGCCCTCTAGTACCTCTTGGTAAGAGGTCTGAAGTCTTGTCTGCATCTGCTGTGTTGGTTAGGGGCTGCTGCCTCAGATGTTCTGCAGTGTCTCCAACCTCTACTCCCTTCAGCAGACTGGGAAGAGCCCAGACTTTCCTGCTAGGACTCTGCTTTGGGATGGCATCTTGCTTCCTAGATGGCTCCTCCCTTTGCTCCTTGATCTCTTAGTTCTTATTTCAGTGTTACCAACAGAAGCCTTACACTACAAATTCACATGCTTTGCTCAGGGCTGCCAGTGACGAACTTGATGGTTGAGTTCCTGGATAGAATGTTTTCTCTTGAAGGGCAGGTGGAGAGTGTTTTGTTTTTACCGTGCAGGCAATGCCTACTTTCTGAAGGTGGAGAAACTCAGATTTTTTTTCTTTTAATCTGAACTTTTTTTTTTTTTACTTTGTCTTGTTCTGTCTGCCCTTTAACTTAAGCTGTGATGCTTTTTCAGTGTTAACCTCTCCAGTAGTGGCACCAAGGCTGCCAACTCTTTTCCAGCGTTTGCTTGTAACCCCTAAAGCCATATTTGCTCCCTGTGCCTCACCCACAGTCTGCAATATCAAGGGCAATGCTGCTGTTACAACTGGTAAAGGTACGGCTATGGCCCTCAAACGGACACTGTGGTGCCTCTGCTGCTATACGTATATATAAGGACCTGAACCTTAGGGTTATCAGTGGGCTTGAAATAACCCAATTCCTTGGCACAAGTCCTTTCTGCTGGGTTGTTGTTGGGTTCTGTCTTTGTTCCATGCCTGTAGAGGCTTCTGGCCTCATGCACTAGTGCTGCTAGTGGAATCTGCAGCCTAAGAGACCGCCAAACAGGGTTTTGGATCACTATACTCAATAGACATATATTTTCTAAATGTACTGAAGGTTATGTGCGGAACTGACAATAAAACAATGTTATAGCTGCTGTGGACTCTTCCTTGGAAGCTTTTTCTTACCACTCAATCGCACAGATTGATCTAAGATACATTAAGACTCCATCACTGTGAACATAGACATGAAAACTTATTTCTTATCTGAACAACTAATAAATGCAAGCCTGGGGTGGAAGGGATGGGAAGCATGTGCCAGCAGACACCTCCAGCCCTTTACAGCTGCGAGACTTCTCCAGCTAGAACCAGAAAGAGAACCTGGAAATGTTGAACTCAAAAGTCACTTTCATCTTCAGCTTGCTCTGCTAACTGAAAGACAAAAGGCTTTAAAAGAAGCCTTTCACACAACAGAAATCTTTTTCAGCTGTTGCCAGCTGGCTTCTATTTTACCTTCCCATTAGAAATTCTATTTCATCAACCACTTAAGTGGGGTTACCATCTCTCCAGAATTCAGGGCTTACAGAGTTCAGCTGCTGCCTGGGTGAACTTTTGAGAAATGCTTTGTTTATCTTGTAAATCAGGAGCTCCTGAACAGGCTGGTTCAGGCTTGTGGTTGTGTGACATTATCACAGTGTGGGGCAGTTCTAACCAGATGAGTTGTGCTTCTATGTAAGACAGCAAAAGCTCAGCGACAGAGAAGGGGCAATAAAGATAAATTGATCTTCAGCTGTCTTCTCTATTCCTGCCTTTCCTGTTGCTGTGATGCCTTAGCTGGCCTAGCACAGCTGAAGAGAGAGGGTGAGCAGCACTCGAAGGGAAGTTCCTGGCAGGGAAGATGCTGTAGTTACTGCTGGCACTAGCTTACCAGCAAGAAGCAAACTGTGCTTCATGGCTTGCATTGAGCACCCTCAGATTTATCCCCTCCTCAGGCAACGGTGACAATGTTTTCCTCAAGCTTTACCAGTTACCTGCAGGTCAATCTTCCCATGTTAGATGTAAACCAGTATCTGTCGTGTCATAACTTCAAAACATCTCTACGCGATTATTTTATTGCAGTATCCTAAAGTGCAGATTTTTTTCAGTTCAGTAGGATGGCTTTAGCAGCAACAATAAATTAAGCACTTTTGTACAACACAGGACACTCTGCTGTTATACAAATTCATCTGATGGGCATGGAGCCATCAGCTGGCAGCTGCATGGACATGACTGACTTCTTTATAGCAGAGGGAAACATATGCATAGAATTATGTCAGTAGGAAATTAATTAACAGTAAACTCTCTTACCATTGCAGCTCAATCTGTGCCCCAGCATATGTGTTAATTGTATATTAACACTGATCTGCTTTGCAGTTAAGATGCTTTCTACAGGCTTCACAAATCCTGCTATAGGGCCTCCTGCATATCAATACAGAGAAGAAGCTGGCCAATGGAAAACAGCAGCAGCCAGTGCAGTCACTTCATAGCCTGAGCCGTGCATTGTGATATGCAAATCTCTAGCCAGGAGCAGTGTTTGCTCATGCTAATTAATTCGAAAAAGAAAAGACTCCCACATTGCATAGCTTGAAGGCAATTGCTTGCATCTGTACAGCTGCTCTGTGTTGGAGCAGGCTATGAAAAAGCAGTGGTGTGGAAAAAATGTTTTGTGGTTTGTTCAGCCACTGCATCGCTTCAAGGGAGAGCCCTTGGGGCCTGCCTGGCAGGTCAGGAGGGCTGCAATTATGGTCCAGTCCATCAACAAACAGTTGGTGGCAGTCTTAGAAGGCAGCTGTCTGAAGTCATGGATGTCTTCTGGAGGGGACTCTCCAGCGCAGGGAGCACCGAACAAGCTCAAAGAACGGAAAACAGTGCTGTGTTTCTTGGTCATTTTCCTCCCTTCAGGCTCTAGCGGTGCAACTCTGTTTTATCCAGGATGGCAACAAGCATGTGATACATTTCTTTAGCCTGTCAAAACACAGAGCAGTATCAGTCATTCTCTGTCCCAGAAATGGCTGCTTCTCATAACTAAATATTCCCATAAATTGCTTTCCATAATTAAATATCAGGAACGTCCTGAAACAAAGCTGCACTTTGAGGCCTGGGAAATGCAAGTGCCCCCATCCATTTTGGGACAGAAGAGAGCAGTAGCACTGTCTCTTGGCAGAGGCCCAGCTGGGCAGCAGGGGGCAGTTGCTGAAGTGCCAGGAGGAAGCTGTAGCTCCAGGCTGATCTCACCTGTGGGAGTTCAAGCCACATGGTCTTGGGGCTGGCAGCCGAGCCATAGTTCAGTTCTATGCCGGGAAGCCCCCCATCAGAGACAGGCCGCAGCGTTCGCATCTTCTGCAGCTCTTTCAGTGGAATGACATGGGAGACCTCCTGTGTAAGGAGAAAAGCCACAAAAATCACTGGTGCAGTCCTTACAAATGAAACCATCTGATTCTTACCTAGGAGGATTCACCTGTTGAAAGCTGAGACAAGGGCTGGGACACAGGGCAGGCTCATCCTGAAAGCATGTCCCTAGAACTCTTGCAAGATTGGGACAAACAGGCATGTGACCTACACTTAATGTTACTGTGGTGCGTGCTTGTTAGCATGATCACTGGATTTACGAAAGAGCACGAGGCAGTACTAACTGTCCTACCACCCTTGTAACTTGCTTTGGGCTAGGGCTGTTGTTACAGTGGCTGTCATGCAGGTAAACACTGACTTTCAGAACTTGTGCTAGAAGAGACTAAGTTAACATCTGACAGACATCAGGGCTCTGGCCTCTAGGGAGGAACTGTCTGGCGTACCTGGGTGGTGCCGTCCACCACAATGATCTCATCTTTATTCACACCAAAGAAACAGGGCACTGGGATTGTGTCATTGCTGACTCTCTCTACGGAGTAGGTGTTGTAGCCAAAGAAAGGCAATTTCATCACGTTCTCTGTAAGAAAGCAAAAGGTGGTTTTCAGGCAGCAGCTTCCAGCCAGCAATCTGCTGCACCAACCTAAGGTGGACAAAACCTGCAGGCGTTCCCAAGCTTTTCTGCATTAAGAAGTAAGATTGACAACTTCACCCTCCCCACTAGGCTGCTGATATTCAGGTCTCAGCAGCCTGAGTGGATGTCTCATTCTTTCCTGACCAGAAAACCGGCATGCAACCAGAATATCAAATAAAACACAACTTGTACAGAGCTCTGAAAATCTACTGCAGGCTTCTGCAGAAGAGGTGAAACTCCTACCATGATCACCATGCTTGGGAACAAGTGCCAGTAAGCAGGGGGAGGCTGCGTCAGGGCCCATTCCAGGCTCAAAGCATCCTCACCAACCTCATGAACTGTCCCAAAGTGCATTCAGCACAGCTTCCGTCACGCTCAGGACAGACAACTCAAGCAGATCTGGATGTCTCCTCACCTATGAACTGGATTTTTGCATCCACTGGCTGGAGGGGTTGCCTGGTTCTCAGCAGCATGGCAATATGGTTCTCCAGAGCCTGGGGTCTGACCGAGGACTGCAGGGTGTTTGGCGTGTACTCCTTCAGCTCTTCCCTGTGCCGACAAACAGATACTAATTCACTCCCTGCCCAGGTAAAATCAAAAGTTCAACCAGGAGGATTAGGAGGAAGGAGGCGATCTGGCAACAATTTTCAAATGCATGGCTGAAGGCAAGGGTGGAGGGAGGGGGAAAGAATGCAACAGGTTGTATCTAAATTGGATAACGTGGAAGGAAACATCAGAGACAGTGAGACCAGCATTTGCCCCAAGGGCGGCTGCGCACCCCTGGCTAGTGCACTGAGAGAAACTCTCCTTTCTGGAGACAACAGGAGCTTGGAGCTCATCAAGCAAAGGCTGCAGCATGCAAGTAAAGCCCCAGGGTGTTTCTTTCACAGGTAGTGCTCAGCTGAACACCACCTTACTCTAACCCTGTCTTGCTCGTCTGCATCCAAAGCTCTACACAGGGCAGAGTCCCCCGTGCCCAGCAGGGTTATGCCCTTGCCA